ACTATAATTACTACTCCACCCTTCACCACCTACAGAAACTTCCAAATCTGCTTCCAAAACAGAAATGGGCATAGCTACATCTAATACTTTTTACAAAGTATACAGAAAATTCTGATCCATTCTTTTATTCACCATATCTTTATGTCAACCCCGACCATGAATAGAAACCTTCTTCCCAATTCCAACTAACTTCATGAGTTAATTTTAGATTAGTAAGTTACTTTCAACATTCATTCATTCCAAATTGGCATCTATCATCCTTTGGAGCTTCCAGCTTAAATCGACACACGTAAAAGCGCAAATTTATCAGCAAATACAGAGGCGATTGCAGCAAGTGATCCAATCTGAGCTCCCTTCGGACAATTTTACCAAAACAAAAACCATTGATGAACTGCAAAAATACATCTAAACCATATACAGAAACAATGAAAAAAAAAGCTCCGATCAATTATCCATTGAACCTCCGTCGATCACTTCAAATGGCCAAACCCAATCACATATCCATGATTGAATCTGAATACCTTTTCTGATGGCCTTTCCGAATCCGAGAGAAGGAGATGGAGACGACGGGTTCCTGTGAAGAACGTGGTGAGTTGATGAATGGACAAAGCAAATACACGATAACCCACCATAAACATTGATTTCAATACAGCTAAAAATATTCGGCGGATACCTCAGATTTCACCCAATTTCTTATACTTACGAGGATTAAAATAAACCTTAGAGAGAAAAAGGAATCTGCTCCATTATTTTCTTCGGTTTATTGCTCTCCTCAAGGCAATCGCTCACGCATTCGGCTTTCCAGATAAGAGGTTTTCTCGTATGTTTCTTCTTTGAATCCCCTAACAATTACACGACGTATAGTCGGACATATTGCGATTAAACAAAGTACAAAATAAGAAAAGTGGAAAAAAAGAAGAACATTTACCAGGCGAAAAAATCGATACATGAAAGCGAGAATTTAAGAAAAGAAACCCAGTGCGGTAAGGGCAGGGAGATAGATATGAACCTATCGACAGCAGTGACGGAGAAGTCGGATTGGCCGTGGTATCGCCTAAGCCGATCCATCCGGTCGGGGTCGAGCTTGGCGGCATAGAGCATATATCGGAATCCACCGTTGTTCTCTGCATAAAAGAGATTAGGTAACCTGTAATGTTGAAGGTGTAAAATCAAATATACACGGCGTCGTTTAGGTACAAAAGGTCTGGCAGAAAAAGAGCAACGCGCACAAAGAATAAACGCGCTCAACGCGCCCCACAAACCTAGCCACGTGTTATCTTCTCAAGTACCCTTGCGTTTTCATATATAATAAGAGAGGATTTGTAATTAGAAATATTTCCCCCGCAAATTGTCGGCTTTGTTGGATAAGTATAGACTATATAGACTTGGATTATAGGCCTTTTAAGTATTTTAAAAAGATGCTTAAAAATTAGACACTTTCTATAGATCCATGATAAAAAGGGAAACCTTTCTGTAGCTGAAGTCTATTCAAAGCTGGTAGAGGAGAAATGGAGAGCAATGGACATAGCTGAATCTAGCAGAGATAAAAAAAAAAAGCCAAAGCCATAAGGAAAAGGAGCTGGAGTTTAAGAGTAAAAGGGAAAATTAGACACTTTATATGGAGAAGTGTGGAAAACTTGCAACCAGTTCTCTTGAACCTGGTCAGGAAGAAACTAGCACAAGATCCTATTTGTAAAGTATGTGGCAGTGATGTTGAATCACTTGAGCACATGTTCTTCCATTGTCCAAGAGCACAACACATTTGGAAACTCTCTCCTCTTTGCTGGGATGGCATTGTTTCTGAAACCGGCAACTTCAAAGGGTGATGGTCTAAACTCTGCACTATCAAACAATCACCAAATACAAATGACAGAATTAATCTCACAGCCTATATCTTGTGGGCAATTTGGAAGTCAAGAAATATGATTCACTTCCAGAATATATGGAAGCCTGAGAAGTTTATGGTGGACTCTGCTTGCTGGGATGGTTGGAATATTCTGCTTCTTTTGTGTAATATTTTGAGTGTTGTTGCTTTTTTAGATCTACTTTTGTATAAGTTATTTGGTGTAGTTTTCTTTTGTTCTGTATGTCTTTTGCAGTGGTATGACTAGGGTCTAGGATCAGTGGTCATGCTCCTTATTTTGGCTTGGGTTTGAACTCCAAACACTGATCTCAGTTGCGTTGTCTCTGCCGGTAGCTTGAAGTTCAATCCCACTAGGTCTTTTGTTTAGAGCATCTCTTTTGGTGTTTCTCAATTGTCCTTCGTTGGAGTGTTTGGGGTTATTTAGCCCCCGGGATGTACATTTTTCTTCGAGCAATAATATCTGTCGTTTCGATTAAAAAAAAAAGATGCTTAAAACTATTAAGTTTATTTGGTAATATATATATATCTATAGTAATATAAAGAGGTTGTTGGAAAAATACTTTTATAGTAAGTTTGACTAAAAAAATAAATAGTTTGACTTACTATTAATGGAAATTTCGAAGAAAACACATGTACCAAAAAAATTGAGATTTTTATGGTAACAAATTTGGAGATTTTAATGGTAACAAATTTAATTGAGATATCCCAAAAAAATTGGAGATTTTTATGGTAACAAATTTGGAGATTCCTATACCAAAATCTAATTCATTTTAAATATTAATTCATAGGAATCTACTTTTATTGGTAACAAATTTAAAGATTGTTATGCCAAAAAATTGAGATTTTGAATTTAGATATTCCAACAATTACGGATTTTTTTCCTATTCAAATTAATGTTGTAAATCAAACAAAAATTTATTCCAAAAATAATGGATGTTATACCAACTATTGATAAACTCCAATCCCATAGGAGATTTCTATGGGATTCTTATGGTAACAAATTGAGATTCTTATGCCAAAAAATTGAGATTTTGAATTGAGATATCCTAACAATTTCGGATTTTTTCCCCTTCAAATTCATGATGTAAATCAAACAAAAAATTATTCCGAGAATAATGGATGCTATACTAAATATGGATAAACTCCAATCCATAGGAGATTTTTATGGGTTTCTTATGGTAACAAATTGAAGATTCTTATTATAGTAACAAATTTGGAGATTCTTATACCAAAATTTAATACATTTAAATATTAATCCCATAGGAATCTATTTTTATTGGTAACAAATTTGAAAATTCTTATGCTAAAAAATTGAGATTTTGAATTGAGATATATCAATAATTACGGATTTTTCCATTCAAATTAATGTTGTAAATCAAACAAATAATTATTCTGAGACAATGCATGCTATACTAAATTAATATCACTGGGCCTACACGTTAATATGATATTAATCAGATAGATAAATTACGTAAATCTTTCCTAACAAAATGCGTTCCAATATTGTTAACCAATTTAATGAAATTTTCTTAACTAATTTGATAGAATTTTGGTAACCACGTGATTTTGTTAGCTTTTCGTGGAAACACGAATCTTCATTATTGATAAGGTTTGATAAGATTTTGTTTCCAATTTTTTTTTGTTTTTTTTACTCTCTCGAAAATTTGATAAGGTTTGATAAGATTTTGTTTCCTTTTTTTTCTCTCTCCCGAAAATTTGAGTCGTGGATTTGAAAAAAAATAAATAAATAAAATAAACATATCGTATTGATAAAGTTTTAGTGTGGGCATAAAAATTGATTTGATTGAACTTTGTTTCATATAAACCTAAGAGAATCAGACGTTTGAAAAAATAAAATATTAATAGTAAATAATCATACCATATTTGTAAGGTTTGATTTGGAATATTGAGGCATAAAAATCAATTATGATTTGATCACATTTTGTTTTATAGAAGTTATCTTAGAAAATTTTACACGTTTCAAAAAATTAAAGATTATAATTTTGTAAATTAAAGTTTTGGATTTGTCCAAATAAATAGATCAAAATAAAAATATTATTTTTCAATCTATCCAAAAAGTCTTACCAAATTTCATTGTAACAAACTCCATTATTTTTGGCTACATAATCTTCTAAATATTCGTTCGTCCCTCACAAGTGAATCACGTTCCACATTTTTTTTTATTTTTTTAACAAAACCGATAACACATATTTTTAGAAGTCAATCATAATCATAATAAAAAAAATCGGATTGGATCATATTAAATACCTTACGTAAATATTTTTTTATTTCCTAGACATATGGCACATACACATGACTATATAAACATCACCAACGTTGAACAAAAAGTATTCGACATCCAATATATCCCACAAAACAATTTTTTCTACAAGCTTTTACATCACCATTGAAAATGGCTTCGGATTTTGGAGTAATCAAGGATATCAAAAGATCCAATAAGCCACCAATCAAGCTACGCATAATTAGGATGTTCCAACGAGTTGAAGACGTACACAATTACCGAAATGTTCTTGAGATTATCTTTTATGATTTTGAGGTAATATATTCATTTAGTATTATTTAAATGCATTATTTTATGCAACATCTTTTATAATTTATTTATTGAAGTATTCATTATGCAATGTTTTAGGGAGGATGAATTACTAGCATAATTCGACCTGTCAATATCCAAAAAATCATCGGTGATATCGAAGAAGGTGGCGCTTATATCTTGACAAACTATCAAGTGAATAGCAATACTGGCATCCATAAATCGACGATAGGTAAAAGGAGGATCATTATCAATGGTCAAACCAAGATTATCAAATGGAGGGGTGATTTATCAAATGGAGAGGTGATTTATCAAATGGAGGGGTGATTTCTCTATTTCTAACTTTAATGGATGTTCGTAACATTGATGAAGTCATGTTGTTTGGTACGTTATAATTTTTTTTTTATTTCTTATTTCGATTTTTTTAATTTAAATCTGTAATAAACTATTTTATATGTTATACATTTCAATATGATGCATTTTCTTATATTTTTGTAGATGTTATTGAATTAATTGTTTCCCATTATGTTTTCTTACAACATGACTATAAACAAGAGTCAGGAACAATCATTATCGCATGTGGGCTTCTTTCTTAAGAAACCAGTGTTTAGTCATGGTCAATTGTATGTTGCTGTCTCCCGTGTCACAAACAGAAATGGGTTTGAAAGTCCGGCGACGATGACGTGCCAAAGAATCAAACCGTGAACGTTGTATAAAAGGAAGTGTTCAATAATATATAGATTTTATTATCATTGTATTAATTAATTTATTTATTATTAGTGGCACGATCTTTTCTTTAGTAAATACTTTGAATTTTAACTAAACATTGCTTTATAAAAGGGACGAAGATAATAAATCCCCGTGCATCGCACGGGACTGTACTAGTATATATAAAGAGATTAACATTTACTAAATATAGTTAGCAAAAATTTTGGAATGTTTTTACTTTTGAAAAGTTTTGATAAGATTTTCAGACAGTGATAAATTAATAGCCAACAAAATTAGTTTTTGATTCCATACACACGTGTTGGCATTAAAAATCGAAATAATTTGTGATAAAATTTTTCCAACAGTATTCAATGAAAAGCCAAAATTGGGATTAAATGAATTTGATAAGATTTGCATTTGTTAAACTGATAAGTACCTATTAGGAGTATTTCGTACAACATTTCTTCTTTTGTTAAACACGCTCACTTCACATACAAAACTTGTGTTAAACATTTCGTTTGCATAATCTCGGTATCAACTGAATATTACTTATCATTTCAATATTATTCTATTTCTAAACAACGGATGCAGATAATTATATATATATATATAGATAGATATAGATATATTTATAAATATTAAAATTTTAGGTTGTAATACATATTCACACCTATAATATTTTATATGTATATATGTATAGGGACTGGTTCAAATAAAAACTACTCCTGGTGTGAGAACCGTGAGAACCGTTTTTTATGCTTTTTTTAATGGTGTATGATGCTATTTTTCATATTTGATGATGCTATTATTTTCATAAGTGCTATTTTTAATAAAATTCATCCTAGTTAAAGATAGCATCAAGCACAATCAATCATAGCACTAGGCCCAAATAAAAATAGCGGTTCTCACACTAGCATTTAGTTCTCATTTGAACCTCATCATATATATATATATATATTTAATTTAAGTGTTTATAGACATATTTTACTAACTTCATATATATCTAGAAAACTTTTAAGTGACTTCACATTTTTCAGTAATAATATGTAATATTTTAGAAACTTTTATATATGTTATATAGTATTTTAGATAGTTTTAATATTTCAAACATACATGTTTTATTTTTTTATACAAGATAATTTTATATTATTTACAAAAAATTGATATACGTAAATTATATGACATGTTAACCCAAAAATTTTAATTTATAATTATTACTTTTTTTTATTTACTAAATCTTTAATTTAGAATTATGATTTAATATTTTTTACTTACATATTTAATATATAAATATCATATAATAATATTTATCCGTGCATTGTACGGGTTACGCACTAGTTTATTAAAAAGAGCTTACAAGTTATAAAAATAAACTCTTCATAAAGAAAAAAAAATAACTCATTGTTTTTTTTTTCAGCGTCTAATAAATTACTCTATTTTCTTTCTCATCATTTAAGACATTTTATAAGTTCAAATATATATTTATTCGTTACAAATATTTAAATACTTACTTTTTAAATAATACGTAACAATTATCAAGTTTAAAGACATCATCATCCTTATATATAGTTTACGAATGCGCTAAGCCTACGTGGCAGGCTCGTGTGCTTCATAAGCTTATTTGACATAAATTGGTGCTTCTTGTTGACCTGTTCAGATTTAGTTTTCTTAAGTTACCATATACTACTCTTACATTTTTTATTTAATTCATATATAAATGATTAAAAATATGTATTCTTTTTATTTTTAAAACTTTATTACTTTTCTATTTGTATTTTATTTTTTATATATGATCTACCAAAATAATCATACCTTAACGATATTCATTTGACATCTGATGGGTCTACTTACAGATCTGGAGTGAACCGGAATGTTCGAACCGCCTTCAAATTGCCTCTAGACCGTCGCAAACAACTACAAGAACTCAACGCCGTAAGTGTTTCTGGCGTAGAGCCTCCGACGCTCAAATCAGTATCAGGAAGAGGTGAAAGAGCTCTGCTCAGAGAGAGCAGCAACAGCCAGAAGATGGAAATGAATAGAGAGAATAGAATTTAGGGTTTAGGGTTACCTCAGCCCCTTTATATAGAAGGAAATACATACTTAAAGTACCCAAAATGCCCTGGTCGATTCGTATTCCAATCACCTCTTAATCAGATCCGAGTCAGCTCAAGATTTCTTCTTATATCCATTAAAGATTCACCTTTATTTAGGGGACTTGTCAGGAGATGCTGAAGTGTCTCGAGTCGTCATGCGCTTTAGACCTTGAGTAGTAAGAGGTCGACTTGAGGGTTTATGTGCAGTGAGATATCAAGAAGCTCTTACCACTTCCCTTTGAATAGATATCGTCATCGTGATATAGGTCGATTTTGGGGTTGTTCGGCCTCTACCTAAATGGCTGTCAGAAGTCGACTTAAGGAGTCGACATAGAGATGTTGACTCAGTGAAATTGATTTCCTCCTTTACAGCTCATCGTGAGGAGAAGGAGTCGACTATAGAGATGTCGACTTCAGAGCATTCCGATCGACATGTAGACGGTTCGACTCGTCACCCGAGTCGAGTAGCCAGCACTTAAGCCGGTATATCATATTATGGTTATATCAACATCCATATTGCATATATAAAATTAATTAATTTTATCTATATTTATTAAATAAAATTAATTTTATTATCAACTAAATTTAAAAAAAATCAAATAACAATATAAATTATTTTATAAAAATAATAAAAATATAATTCTTTAATGCACCATTAAATAATCATTTGATTATTTTTTCCATGAATTTTGGATAAAATATGAAAATCAAGTATATATAAAATAAATTTTAAGAAATATTATAAAATATTATTTATCAATTTAAATAAATTATATAAGAAATTGAATGTTATTATGTGATTTAGAATAGTAAATATAAAATAATATCATAATTAAATATAATAAAAAAATTATATTTCATAACGTTAGAAAATAATACATTTCAACGTAAATTCTAAATTATTAATTATATGAATTTAAAATACTTAAAAATTAATAAACGTGAGACACTGACTCTATAAACACAAAATATACTCACCATACAATAAAACTTGTTTTGTTTAACAAGATAAATCAAATATGTAGAGTTGTAAATAATATCCGTTTAATTTATACATATATAATTTTAAAAATATAATTAAAATATATTTTTTTGACAAATTTAGTGTAAAAATACGGACACTATTTGAGTTAGTTATCACTTTGTTAGTTATTTATTATTGTTTCATATTCATCATATATAATTTTATAATAAAAATATAAATTATTTTAATTTTTATTATACAAATATTAATATCTCTCAATACTCGTGTAGTACACGGGTATTATACTAGTCTTACAATATGTCAAAGCTTTGAAAATCATTTTATAAGCTTAGTAGAACACTCTAACAATAAGATAAATGTTACATTGCCAACCTAGTGTACAACTAGGTTGACAACACAAGTAAAAACATCCATAAAAATAAAAGTAGAAATATACATAATCCCACTTGTGTTGTCAATCTAGTTGTACACTAAGTTGGCTATCTATCATTTTTAATAAGATAATACTATGTAACTTCTTCTCATCTTTGAAAACCATTTTATAAGCTTAGTAGAACACCCTAACAATAATACTGTGTAACTTCTTAATTCCCTACCCATGTAACTCAGGTCACCTAAATCAATAAAAGGATACAGGTATATGCTATATAGTAATACCCCCTATTCTTTTTAAATGTCATTTTGGCTTTATTAACTATTAACCAAAATAAATGTGGTTTTGGATCTTGTGTATATATTTTTCTATTATTACCTTATTTAGTTAATAAATACATTACGTCTTTTCATATTCTCTTCATCTTTTTTTTTTAACATTCATCTTTATCTTCATTAATGAGGGTTATTATTGACAAAAAAAATTATTCTTAATTAATCTCTATTTTCATTAATGAGGGTTATTATTGACAAAAAAATTATTTTTAATTAGTGTGCAACTTCCAAAACGATAATTATTATGAATAGGAGAGAGTATGTATAAATAAGTTGACTCCAATTAAATTTGGTTCGTGTGGCATACATAATTAATAGTAACAATATCTTTGACTTTGACTAATAAAGGGGAGGCAAACTTAATTCTTGCGTGCCAGCCCAGGTTTTGGCCTTTCGCTGTGAAGAAAACTAAACTAATGGTGATAAGATATAAGTTTAGCATGTTGTGGAATGTGAACGTGATCAATATTGTACTATCCAACACCATTGTAGTAAATAAATAAAATTGATATGTCGTCGTCCAATAATAACTCGCACACATGTTATGAAGAAAATGACACCGTCGAACAATCTAATCACGGGCATGTTGACTATAATATTTCAAATAGAATTTTTAACATGTCATAGATTACAAATCTTTTGAGGTTCAAGACTTATCAGTACAATACTCATGTACTATACACGAGTGTAGAGTTAAGAAATATATAATAAAAGTTATTGCTAAAACAAAATTTTTATTTAAAAATTTTAATAGACAAATTGATGAAAAAAAAAAGAATATACAGTGCAAAAAGTAATTTATAAACAACATTACGAAACATAATAAATTTTTCGTCATGTCAACATACGAAGCATGAGAGTGTTATTTAGACTCTAACGTGTTTTGAATTAATATATAGGGAGGGACGAAGACAAACAAAGTTGGGAGATATATTATTAATAAATCAAGCAGAAAATATTTTGATAAAGTACATTGCATTAATACGTGTCGTATTCATAACAGTACACGGATCACATTATTCGAGACATTAACACACATTGAAGCAAAAGCCGAAAAAGATAGATAATATATAAAATATTGTCGGTGCAAATACCAATAGCTTATTAATCCTAATCCTAGTCGGAGGATTAAGCTATTGCTGATTATTGTTATGATTGTGATTATGATTATGCTTCCCATCCTCGGAGAATAGTAGCTGTGGCGACACGATTAACGCCCAAGCACAAGGCTCCCATTCTCAGATCACATGAGCTATTGCTGCCTTTGACTGTCACTGTACGACACATCTCTTTTACATCTTTAAATCCCTTTGTCATATATCTCTTCAGCTCCTCATTCACTTTTTCCTCATCCCACATGAACCCTTGTATGTTCTGTATTTCATGTATGATTATTATTACTAACTATATACAACACATTATCCTACCTAATTACTTTTAAAAATTTCTATTTCTAATTAATTGCTTGTAATTAATTTGTTATAGTTAGATAACAACTCACCTGAACCCATTCAAAGTAACTCACGGTAACTCCTCCTGAATTTGCATAGATGTCTGGAAGAACAACCACTCCCTTCTTTGACAATATCTGCCAAAATTTGAATTAATTTTGATAGTTGATTAAAAACAGCCAATATAATTAATGCTGCTGCAATAAGATGCTATAATTATTTACCTCATCAGCCTCTGGGTCAGTAGGATGATTAGCTGCTTCAATTATGAATTTTGCTTTAATGTCCTTTGCATTATCTCTGTTGATGACTCCTCCAAGGGCTGCAGGGATGAGAACATCACAATCCTCAACCAATATTGAATCTTGATCTATATTGTCCGCACCTTCAAACCCCTTCACTCCACGAGTTTTTTTCACGTGTTGGATCAGGCTTGGGATATCTATACCATTACTGTTCTTTATAGCTCCTGTTATGTCACTCACTGCAACTATTATCCCACCTTCTTCCCTTATTAGACGAGCAGCCCAAGATCCGACATTTCCGAATCCCTGCATATTATATAGTATGTTTTAATTAAATGATGTTCAGGGATGGACCTTTACTTGATGTGTATGTGTATGAAATTGTGTGACCTGCACGACAAATCGTTGTCCTGCAATGCTCTTTCCAAACTCATTAAGCAGTGCTTGCGTTGCGAAAAGTACACCCCTTCCAGTAGCTGCATCTCTGCCAAGGGATCCACCAAGAGCCTGATGTACAATTTATCATTAATTAATATTATTTAATACTTTTTGGATATCTCTGGAAAGTAATAGTAATTACTCTGGTTACTAGACTTACAATTGGCTTTCCAGTTACTACAGCAGGTGAATAGCCATGAAACTTTGAGTACTCGTCTAGTATCCAAGCCATCGTCTGTGGGGGGGGCCATCACATTCACACAAGTTAATTGTTTTAAGAAAAAAGAAAAAGAAAAAGAAAAAGACAAAAGTGAAAGTGATGACCTGTGGGCCAGTGCCCATATCTGGTGCAGGAACATCAGTGTGGACACCGATGAGATCGTGTATCTTTTGGGTAAACACTCGGGTTAGCCTCTCAAGTTCGGAGACGGTCAAATCCGAAGGGGAGCACCCGATTCCACCTTTTGCTCCCCCATAAGGGATGTTTGCCACTGCTGTCTTCCAAGTCATTAGTTGTGCCAATGCATTTACTTCGTCTGGCTCAACCTGCATGTACAATTATATATATATATATATATATATATATATATATATATATATTTTTCTTTTTCCATTCCATTTTATACGTATGTAATTATGTATGTACATCAAAAATCATCTCGTAAGACTAGCTACCTACCTCTGGATGGTATCTAATTCCTCCTTTCATTGGGCCTCGAGCATTATCGTGTTGAACCCTGAATCCTACGAACGATGCCAAGGTACCATCATCTTTTGGTATGGTACACTCCACCTGCACTCATTAATTAATTGTTGCTTTGCCCAAGATCTTTGCTATCTCTTAATTAATTTGATCAAAGAAAACTAAACAAACACAGAACAAAACAAGCCTGTGGATTATTATATTATATGATATGATGATGCTTGTGTGTGCATATCAATATCAAATGCACCTTGATTTCTCTGAAAGGGATGAGTAAACTCTTTTGGAGCTTCGAGTCCAATCCTAAAAGCCGAGCTGCCAACTTGAAGTTTCGGTTGGTTGCAGCCAATGCATTCATACTTAATACTCTTTCTATATATATATATCCACTGCTTAAATTAAGCAATTCTGTTGATCAAACCCAAACCAACCAGATTATTAGCTAGTATGTGTCTAATTGATTTTTATGACAATTCAAACACCTAAATGCAGGTATTTATAGGACAAGTACATACGCGGCGAACCTGAACCTGGACCTGAAACATCTCTTTCACACACACACACACACACATATATAAAAACAAATTAAATATATCACGCCTTTATGAATCCAATCACCATATATAATTTTTAAGGCTACAGAGTTTACTTCAGCTCCTCGTCATTATCCAGTCATCTTATCCTTGAAATTTCATAACATGTTGGTAGTATTATATATACGAACAAGTGGTGGTGCCTAAGAGTAAGAGAATATTTAAGCTCGAGCAGGCTCTGAGAGCAAGCTATTACAACTACATACCATAATCATCTCTTGTCAAAACTTGAAACTAATTAACTAATTAATTTCACCCCTAATTCTAATCTGAAGCTGAGGAATTCATGATTACATGAGAGTTATTAGACTTGGAATTGTATCAGTGAAAAGAGAGAATTATGCTGTGATCCTGATCAGTTTTAAGTGAACTTGTTCATATTTTGTGAACAAAAGGTCAAATATGGAGGCTGTAACTAAACATGTAATGCTGACACCAATCCATCCTCTCTATTTTTATCTCGTTTGTCCACAATTAATACATTATTATTTGGGTGAGCTCCAGATATTATTTTATTCTAGTACAATTTTGATCGTTATCGACTCACCACATAAATGGATTATACATATCTACCTGTCTATATATCTCAATATATATACACCGCCTCTGCCTTAACATCATTTATCTTACAAGATTCTAAATTAATTGCTTATAGACACAATAAACCAAGTTTCTTTTTTTTTTTTATTAAAAAAAAAAAAACTATATCTACATAACTGCATTTATTTTCCAGAAGGTATATATGTATGTTGAGTCTTTCATACCTGGGAATTATATCTTAATTAAGTTGAGGATCCTCAACGGATTGATATAGCGGCTGAGCTCTCTAAGATGCAACACTCCTCTAACTATGACTATCCTTAAATAAGCACAACGTTTGCATCAAATGAGCCAAATTGAAATGGAATAAGAATCCAATTCATCTCTCGATCGTGAATATCTTAATTCGGCCATTCCAAAGTCTTTGGAACACATAATCTTTAAATTTGGGTGTGTGTGTTGGCGCGCACTTCTTTAATGATGACATGGATAATTAGTGAGATGAGAAAAATGAAAAGAGAATATATAGGAATCTATTGAATAAATGGATATGTGATTCATACACCTATAGTTACAGTAACACTAGTAATTAAGCTAGCTGCTTGCTATTAATTGCATCAGCTGGGGATCGAATAAATCTTTATTGTACATATAACTACTTGTTCACTCCACTGATAAAAGGGAATAGAAATTTCACACGCATAAAAAGATATTTATTGATTTTATTAGGATTATTGGAACAATATTTTTTAAATGGTTTGCTTTTATTTTTAGCCCCATCTTTTATTTGGTTCCTTCTGTTGTTTAGTTTCCAACCTTTTATCCTTCCAATGTATTGTAATTGCAAGCACACTTGGGACATTTGTGAAAACATGAAAGACAACAACATAGCATTTAGTCCCAAGCAAGTCGGGGTAGGCTAGAGATGAAACCCAGGAGAAACACAAAAAAGACTCGAACCAAAAGGAAGAGATCGAAAGAAAGAAAACAAAAAATAATAATAATAATAATAATAATAAAAATAAAAAAAAATAAAATAAAATAAAATAAAATAAAATAAACGGAAGAGAGAGAGAGAGAGAGAGAGAGAGGAGCAAAAGTCACGGTTCTGGCACGTTGATAGCGAGCCTCCAAGCGCTCCTATCCACCGCTAAATCCTTGGATATATTCCAATCTTTAAGGTCTCTCTTAACCGACTCTTCCCAAGTGAGTTTAGGCCGACCTCTACCTCTCTTAACATCCTCGACCCGCTGTAGAACTCCCCTACGCACCGGTGCATCAGGAGGCCTCCGTTGGACATGTCCGAACCACCTCAACCGATGTTGAACCAATTTCTCCTCAATTGGAGCCACCCCGACCCTATCTCGAATATCCTCATTCCGAATTCTATCCCTTCTTGTGTGCCCGCAGAACCAACGCAACATACGCATCTCTGCAACACTTAGTTGTTGGACATGTTGCCTTTTTGTAGGCCAACATTCAGCACCGTATATAAGCAATTTTTTTTTTATTGTCCTTTTGGTTTATTATAATTTTGTCTAATTGTGAATGTCAAATGTTGTTATCTTGAGCGAACACTAAAATAAAGGGAATAACCGATAACAAGAGGGAGTGATGCAAGGTCAGACAGTGAGACGATAGGATAAGCTTTATTATCGAGAGGGAAATAACTAAGATCACCAGCTAAGACTATTAGATGATGCAGCTAATATAAGACTATTCTCGGTTTAGTTCAAAATTAAAAAAATTTCTAGTATTTATAATAATAACTACACATATTCGTCTTTTCGCATGTATATCAAATAAAGTGTGTGCTAATATGCAACTTTGACACGATTCCCACCATGAATGGAATTCCAATTTCCTCTTTACTTTAAACCCTATTGCCTAAATCCTACTCACATTTCACAATATTAGTCATCCACTATTGTTTTGTCTCCTCGTTTTGAATATTAATTTGCTCGAGTCATTGCTCATTATATGAGATTCTAACTAATATCCTTATTAGCTCTAGGATTTGTTGTGGAGACGTGATATTGGACTTGTTTGAATGTTTGTGATTGAAGTATAATTAGTAAATTACACCTTATTTAGAAGGTTGATCCATTAAATTGGCGAACTAGTTTGATAAAGAGCTTATTTAATTAACTTTTTTAGCCCAAAACATCAATTCTTAGAAAAATGTGTTTGGTGATTAACAAACTGATATTAAAAATTAAAAACGTATCATTATTATACATTTATGATTTATCTACAAAATATAAGTCCTTTACATGTTTACAATTGTCCATTGTTGTTATTTTTACATCGAAAATGATTATTTATATAAATAATTAAACTAAATAAATTGATAATTATACATTGTTATTATTTTTTACAGAAAAAATAATTATTATTCTTAATAAATAATTAAAATAAATAAATGAAGTAGAATTGAATGAAATTGGTTAAAGTAGCTATCCAAACATCCAATTTATATCCCGCAATATTTGTGAAACCTAATCAATTAGTCAACTAACAAAAGAAACGAGCACTAAATTCAACACGAAATGGATAAATTAGGAATTTTGGGTGCAAAACCAACTTTTGACTAAGATTTGTTAATTCAAAATCCAACTAACCATTNAAAGAAAGAAAAGAAAATTCCAACTAATCAAACGTGACCCGCACATACACCCCTAGTGAATTTAAATAAAATTTGATATATGTATATATATTATAAATTCTACAAAATCAACACAACATATAAATATACCATACACACACACCCGTAGACATGGTCAAATAACGGGTCGAGCCCGCCTAACGGGTCGTCGGGTTCAAAATCACCAATCCTGAACCAAGCCGACTCAGGCCAGCCCTGAACCGGACCAGTTTGATTCCAGGCACGGGCCTAGACCCGTGCCAAACTCACGGGATTACAAAATATTAAAATTGACACATGAATTACAAAATGGCAGAAATTCCTCCTATATATAAATATGCAAAGTTTCCCGAGCTTATTTGTCGACTTACGACACTTTGTGATTTTATGTGTCGACTTCTGGTGGTTTATATATACTTATATAGTCTTATTTGTCAAATTCTGGTATTTCGAAGTAGTCAATGTTAACGTTTATTCATGTTTACTAAGACACTAGTACAACATTCGTGTACCACACGGGTGATTAAACAAAGAAACTATGTATTCAAAAAAGATAGAACAACAATAATTTACATAATAATTTAAAAAGCAAAATTACAAACAAATAATAAAATACAGCCGGACTTCATAATATTATTTCAAATTTTGAAAAACTTCTCGATATACAACGTTATAGATATACAACGTTATAGTTCTCAGGTGGGAATTCATCAATCAATGAAGCCGATCTGCGGGATGAATCAACTCTCACGAATAAGAAATTGATACTTGAATAGGAGTTTCCTTAAAGTTGTATCATGGATTTGTACAAATATTAACAAAAGAAATTCATGAATTGTCATAATATATATATATATATTATATAAATGACAAACAGACATACAAGAAAAGTATAAATATAATTATTTAAATTATTACCTGTTGACATAATTTTCAATGGCCTTCAGATCATCATTTATAATCAATTAACTTGCAAATAATGAATTTTGCAAGTTAACATATGCTGCAATTATAAACAAACAATAAAAGAAATATTACAATGATGTCGATCAAATTAATGGATTTTATAAAGTGATAGAAAAAATATTGTTTATAACCTCCCCATCTCTAGACTACATGCTGAAGGATAATGATTACTAGATCGCCTTTTACGGCATTCCAATAATCAGCCATTTGGAGCGCAAATTCGTTCCACAACGTACGATCAATAGACTCTCTGCTAAACAAGAATAATAAACAAACAAAGATATTTTATACATTAATCTCAGTGGTGATTATTAAGCTCTGGCAGCCTAATCTCAGTGGTGAGAATATTACCACATATTGCAAATTATGTAGCACAGTATATTAAACAAACAAAAATAAGCACCAATATTGCATATGCACGATAACCTCCTAAAGATATAGCCATTGTACTTCAGGGATATTTTGGGAGCTACTATATGTGACCTGAAGTTAAAAGTGCAGGTCAGATGCTTGCACGGTATGTACTTACTCACCATTCTTTTTCATCCAGGATATGTATAAAATGTATTGGATTGGTCAAGAATAAGAATTAATGATGATCACTCTGCTAATTTAACAATTCATTTAGCACGAAACATGAGTATCTCAAATTCTCAATAGCTAAATATATGTGTGAGCTCACACATATTATTTTGCTATAATTCTCGAATCCAGATAGAAAGTTGATCGGTTAATATTGATACACGAAACGAACAAGGAAATGCGGTTAGATGTAATTGAGTCTTTATAGCCGGGAACTCTTATTTATT